GTCCTCCTCGTCCTCGTCCTCTTCCTCCTCCTCCTCCTCCTCCTCCTCGTCCTCCTTGTCCTCCTCGTCCTCGTCCTCCTCCTCTTCCTCCTCTTCCTCCTCCTCCTCCTCCTCCTCGTCCTCCTCGCCCTCGTCCTCCTCGTCCTCCTCGTCCTCCTCGTCCTCCTCGTCCTCCTCGTCCTCCTCGTCCTCCTCGTCCCCCTCGTCGTCCTCCTCGTCGTCCTCTTCCTCCTCCTCGTCCTCCTCCTCCTCCTCCTGCTCCTCCTCCTCCTCCTCCTCCTCTCCTCCTGCTTTCTCACGAGGCCACCCCCTCGCGACGGCTCCTCGTGGACATCGCCATCACGGGCGCGCCCCCCAGAGAGGGGCGCCCGGGGATCGATCGAGGGTGGCCCCCCGCCCACGCTGGCCAGGATGACTTTGACGCCCGTCGTGGTGGACTCCGCCAGGATGCTCTCGCGCGTCGAGCAGGGGCGCGGCCACGTGGTCTTCGGCTGGAAGCGTTGTTTGGGGGGGAGGGGCTCCGAGGCCGATGCCTGCTACTCCCTCTCCGTCTGCAAAGCCTGGCGGATGCTCCTGAATCCTCTCGCGGACTCGCCCTGTTCGGTTCCCTCTTCCTCCATCCTCCTCGTCCTCCTCCTCCTCCTCCTGCTCCTCCTCCTCCTCCGCCTCCTCTTCTTCATCTTCGTCCTCCTCATCTCCCTCATCCTCCTCCTCGTCCTCGTCCTCGTCCTCGTCCTCGTCCTCGTCCTCATCCTCCTCAACCTCCTCCTCCTCCTCCTCCTCCTCCTCCTCCTCCTCCTCCTCCTCCTCCTCCCCCTCCCCCTCCCCTCCTCTTCATCCACCTCCTACTTGTACCTCTTCCTCCTCCTCTTCATGTTTTTTTTTGCCGGTGGAATGCTGCAAGCGGCGCTAATCCAATGAACCAAATAGAATGACAAAAGCACCCGTCCCAATCTCCGGCCATCAAATCTGACGGTTGGCGGTTTGTTTTTTGGGTGCTTCATCCCGGAATTCTGCACGAGCCGCTTCTCCAGGGAATTCAATCCATCCAGTGCGTCAATCTGTCCTGCGCCATGGGGTGCAATTGGTAAGACAAGACACCAGTCCTTGCACTGGATCGGTCTTTCGCCAGCTCTCGACGACTGTGCGATCAACCGAAATCTTGTGGAGTATCCCGTGTGCCATGAACGGCACGTCGCGCCGGCACGTGCGAACTGCCGCATTGGGGTGCGCGCGACGTGCTTGGACCTCATGTGGTTGAGGTATTGACTGCCTACCAGACCACCCCAACCCAACCCGAAGGCCCGAATTTCGGGTTGGGGGGGGTAAGGGTTCCACGTGTGTTTTTTCGATGTTTCCCGACCCCCCCCCACTGGAAATCGAGGGTAAATCTGAGCCTTCGGGTTGGGTTGGGGTGGTTTGGTGGGTGGTGAGGTATGCCTGGGACGTGCCAAAGGCACGCCCGCAACTCTCACGGTGGCCTACATCCACTGGCCCCGCACTTGGAGGCTGATGCTCGTCGCACGCCGACTCGGCGAAACGCAGCTGGCTGGCGAATTCCCTCCAGCAGTTAGTCAGGGCGGTGCACCGCCAAATCGTGCCACACCTCGCTGGCCAAGGGAGGCGATGGGATGCGAGGCGGGGATTTATCCATATCCAACGCCTGGGAACCGACGTCCTGGCGCCCCAACGCGCGGTGGATATGGATGCATTCTGGACCCCAGGGGTGCGGACATGTCCCTGCCCACCGCCTGCCGAGATCCCCGAAAATGATCCTCCGGGCGGCGGTCACGCACAAATTTCCGCTTCGGATGGGGGCACGTCGCGGACGGCACGCTATCAGGGAGACAGCACGGCTTTCAGAGGGCCCGCGTCGGACCGGGACACATGGGCGCAATACTTCAGCCCGCGTCAGCGAACGTCGCAATCAACTGACTGATGTCGTTCTCAGCGCGGACGGCCACATCAGACTGAGCAACAAGATCACGGCGAACAGCGTTGAAACTGCGGCAGTTCACTCGCACGCAAGGGCCATTGAGAACCTGACCCCCCCCGGCTGTTTGAGCACGCGCACGCGCGCGTTAAATGAGAACCTGGACAGCGCGAGGCCAGCCCGGAACACGCGCTTCAAGCGCTTCGGCACGACCGCGCTGCCGAGCACGCGCACCCTGATAGGCGCGCGGGCAGCCGTCGCCTTGGAAGCCCCGCCTTCGCATATTTTACAGCGCTGCCCCTCGCTTTGATCTCGCATCCGAGATGGGCATGGGGGCTCGCGAGATGAACCTTCGCATCTGACTCTGGAACAGCAATCATGGGCCCATCGGTGGGTTGCAGGGTCCGCCGAACATCGTGCGCCCCGTGGCCTCTGCAGACAAGTTTGAAGAGGCCCCGGGACACACACACAAATAAATACACACAAATAACCGGATTCCCCATATTTTCGCATATTTTCTAAATGTTTTTGCCTTCCCCCCCACTTCCCACATTTTTCGACACTCTCCTGGGAATCGACGATTACTTGTGTCTGTGTGTTTTTCCCCTCCTGAAACTTGCCCTGCAGTTCGCCATGTCTTGCAACGCATCATCACTCTGCGATCTGCGAACGCAGCAGTGAGGGGGCCAAACAGCGCGCGGACACCGCGCAACATGGCCACAAGGGGGATGCGCGAACAGCAGCATGCCCGAGTCGTCGACAAATTGGGCGCCCGAGTTATCCGGGGTAACTCGGGTCCGGGGTAACTCGGGTCTGGATTCCCGAAAAAGGAACCCGAGTTAGCCCTGACCCGAGTTTTACCCCTGATGACGTGGGGCTCTGGACGCCCGAGTTATCCAGGGTAACTCGGGTCCGGGGTAACTCGGGTTTGGATTCCCGAAAAACGAACCCGAGTTATCCCTGACCCGAGTTACCCCTGATGATGTGGGGCTCTGAACAAACGCCACTGCAAGAATTTCCTCGTCCTCGCGCGGCTGGTCGGCCGGCGCCGTCGCCCAGAACGAACGGGCTCTCCGAGAGCCCCGGGCTCGAGCGGGGGGCGCCCAATCGCGCGAGGAGCGGCGGCTGCCCGAGCAACAGGTGCAACTCCATGGCCAACGTTGCCTGCCGCTCGTTGCCGCGCGCGCGCGACGCTCTGCGCCGACCCGCCTGGAACCGCGAGCGGGACTGCAAGGCAGCGGTCAAGCGCGAGAGTTTCTCTGGCGCGCCAATTCGCGGAAGAGCATGCCCATGGTCCCGAATGCAATGGGCGATCCACCATGCCGTCTCAGAATAGGGGGCAAACAAACCTACCTCGCTTCTGACCACCCTCGCTTCCAAGAGATACCTAGCAATGCCAAACTACGGCCTGTACTGGTCAGGCCGCTTGACGAGGGGGCGCGCGCCATGACTTGGTTTTGCCTGGGGGCGAAAGCGGGGTGGGTATTCACGCTCCGACAGAAGCCATGCGTAATCGCACAATTACTCATGCTTGATTTCTTCTTGTCTGGCACGCGTTGCGGGGGGCCCGCGCAGCGCCCGCGGATGGCCCCGCGTCGAAAGACTTCGCCA